ATAATAAATTACAAAGAAAAATTAACATACTTCTATGTAATTTTTTGGAATAGCTACTGAATGGGAAAAATTAAAGTTTTACCATAGATTTTAAAATAGCAATTGTTTGTAATTTGAGAATATGACATGTAGGGTATGTGAAGGGAAAAAAATAAAATATTATTATTTTTATAATAAAATTTAATTATGTAATTAAGTCTATTATAATCGTCTTTTTTTATCATTTTACATGAGTCTTTTTTAATAAAAAAAAATTAAAATTAAATGGGGTGTGATTATAGTGCTGAACTTTCGGGCGGCGGGCCTGCCCGATGCCCGAAAATTTTCGGGCACGGCGGGCAGGCCCCTCTTACCGCCTGAAAATACTTTTCTTCGGGCACGGGCTCGGGTAGCCCGAAAAGAGTAAGCTCCCCGACAGCCCGCCGCCGTGGAGAAGCCGGCCCCTGCCGTTCGCCGGATTTTTTTTTAATTTTCCGGCAATACCCGAATCTGCCCGAATTTGTGCCTGAATTGCCCGAATTTTTTGTGACCGTTGCCCGAAATTTGCCCCGTGCCCGAAAAATGCCCGATTTATTTTTACCGTTAGCCCGAAAAATGCCCGAATTTTGAAAAAAAAAAAACGGTCTTCTGCCCGAACCCGAATTTTGCCCGAATTTTTGAAATTTGTTGTGTCCGTTGCTCGAAATTTGCCCCGTGCCCGAAAAATGCCCGATTTATTTTTACCGTTAGCCCGAAAAATGCCCGAATTTTGAAAAAAAAAAAACGGTCTTCTGCCCGAACCCGAATTTTGCCCGAATTTTTGAACCCAACGGTCGGATTTTGTGTCGTTGCCCGAACTGCCTAATTTTTGCCCGTACTGCCCGAAAATTTTGTAGCCGTTGGACCCGAATTTTTGGGGGAAAATTTTTTTTTTTAACCCAAAAATTTTCCTATAAATACCCCCCCTCCCCCCAACCATTTTCCTCACCCCAAAACTCTCATTCTCTCTCAATTTCTCTTAATCTCTCTCAATTTCTCTTAATCTCTCTCAAATATCTCTTAATCTCGCTTAAATCTCTCTCGAATCTCGATCTCTCTTAAGCTCTCTCAAAGCACTCTCAATCTCTCTTATTTTTCATAATGGCTTCTTCTGGTTAT